GGATTACTGGAAAACCTGGGAGTACTGGACAGCCTTTTCGTCAAACTAGTTTGGGACTCTTCATCAGTACGCACCCACTGGTTTCGAACCCAGGACCTTCTGGCTCATGAATAAATCCTCCATCCAGTCAAACAAAATCGCTGCAAAACCAATACTTGAAAATTAATCTGATGCTCACTAGCCACTAGCCCTATTCAAGCAGTGACCTAGAGTACTAGTGAAAGCTGTGACCAGCAAGGTGCAGCAGGTTGAAGGTGAGGCAGCAACTCATCGAAGAAGACATTGTGAAATGGTCGCGCTATGTCATGAATTGGCAGAAGTCAGAATTCATGGGCTAGCCAGTGGATCGGGTCCTATTGGTCTACGAGCTTGTAACCAGAAGGTCCTGAGTTCGAACCTCGTTGGGTGCGCACTGTGAAGAGTCCCGAACTAGTCTGACAAAACAGCTGTCCAGTACTCCCAGGTTTTCCAGTGATCCTCTAACTGATGTCAGCTCATGATGAAATCCTCAGTTCAATCAAATTATTAAATAAAATTTCAACGTATGAAAGTTTATTTAGGTTGAATTAAATTCGCCAGTTGAAGTAGAATATAACCACAGTTTCCTCTGGAAACTAAAATTATTTAGACCATAATTTGTAATCTGTTTGATACCACAAATTTTAACCAGGAAAACAGTCATGAAGGCGTGAAGTTATATACTATTTATTGATCGATTGGCTGAGATGAATAGTTGAATACCAAACACAACAATCAGTACTGCTGGTTGACCAGTCAGATTGAATTGATCAAAACACCAAACAGCCGTTTCGCTTGTTTCAGGTCAAGCTCCTCAGCGATTTAGCCCATCTGAATAAACTCGGACAGCTGAATCCGTTCAAACCACCTGGTTTCTCATATGATACTTTCGACAACTGGTATACATAATCTACTCACTCCGATCAGGCAGTAGTATAAACAGTCCCATGCATTTATGCTTGTTTTCTTGATTATCTATCATCTATGGGATCAAGTACAACACAATTTATGACTGGGAGTATTTCTCATTGGATATTCGAACATCATCCTGCGTGGTTAATTAAAGGAAAAATAAAATCTATTCATAGCACTTTTCTATCGCATCTTGTGGCGTCGGTGGCACAGTGGTTAGTACTCTTGCCGATCATGCAAATGGTCCGAGGTTCGATCCCATGCCGACGAACACCTGATATCTATGGTCGGCCTGCAAAATTTGGGCTACCGATATCCATTCTGAAAATTCCATACTGTACCAAAAATACAGTGTGGAATCAAGCTGTAATAAAAAATACAAGATTTATGTTAACTAGGCTTTCAAAGTCATTTACAGCATACTAACTAATCTTAATTTTGCCTTAAGAGTTCGTCTACTACATATTGCTAAGGTTGGCTGTTGGAATCCACATTAAGAAACATCACTTGTGTATCTAAGAGAAGTTGGTTCAAACAATGACCTTAACTTGGCTATCTAGGTTATAATAATCCTCAATTTTTGTAGAAATTTTCTTAATTTTATTTTATATTCTGTTTGCTATTATATATTTTTATTTTTGTTATAATTTACGCATCTTTAGTGAACTGTAGTTCCATTGATCTTGCTGAACAAATCGATGGTACTTAAAAAACACCAATATTTTTATTGACTACTATTCTACAATAATCTCTATATATAATTGTTGAGCCAAAAGAGTAATTTGCTGAAAAGGACATTCTTTGCTCAGTTTTTTTTTCTAGATTTCTGAATGAGCATTCTCGCTATATTGAATAATTTTAGTTTCTAAAGGAATCTAAGGTGAAATTTCACCTTAAACTGCATCAGTTGCATGTTATTGCCACTTAACCCCGGTACCTAACCAAAAGTCGGATGGCTTCACCTGATTCACCTCTGTAAGTTGAGACAAACCGGATACACTACTGATGGGCTGCTGCATGACAAACAGACGAAACGTCTGTCCGGTGTTTAGATCACACTTCAGTTTGGCTGGTCAGCCAGCATTACTGGTTGGCGTGTTTGGTTTACACAACTCTTCATCTCTATCAATCAATAGTACATGATTTCATGCGTTTGCTTTGATTGTTTGTTATATCTTATGCATTCATTATAAAAACGATGAATGGTCATATAAAGTGATTCAAAGAATTAAGGGAATTCAAAAAAGTGGTGTGCATTTCAGAATGCTTGACTGCTATTCGTGTTTGAAAGTATGCCGTAATTTGCATTAGTTTTTTGGTTATTTTTTCTCCTTCAGGTTCCCAGTGGAACATGGGGCCTCAAGTTAGTGGCTTGAAGTTTCTGTAGCAGTGTGTGATTTTACGGGATGGGGTTGCTAGCCTCGTGCCCTACCTTTTCTCTTCACCAGGATTATTTCTGGCTTAGCAAGGTAAAGGAGTGCGTCGGCCAGGGATCAAACCCCGGAGCAAGACTGAAATGTACTTGAAATCATCCGAATGTATGTTTTAATGGAATTAACCCTAGCTAAATTCAGCGACTCAGGAATCAACTTGTTACCGGGGAATAATCTCGTTGGCTTAGAATATGCAGATGAAATAGTCCTTCTAGGTGAGGATGGTGACAAACTAGAGCATATTTTTCTGAACACGTTGAGCTGCAATATGCAAATGTTTGGCATGCGATTCTCTCCTAATGTCGGATGTAAAATGATGCTACAGGACTGGCCTACATTGACTCCTAGTTTAAAGATAGCGAGTGAGGTGGTAGAGCGTGTTGACTACTTCAATTATCTGGTAAGTTGCATCAGCCCCAACGTATCGATCACTGGCGAAATTTCAGCTCGGATACAGAAGGGTGGTTTCGCATATGCCAACTTACACCATCTCTGGCTTAGTCGACGTAATATCCGGCTGTCGACCAAATGACGTATGTACTGCTCAGAAGTCCACTCCGTCATCCTTTATGGCTAGCTGTCTTCGATCATAGTGTCTGCATTCTATCTCCCGTGTCTTGTGGTGGTATAATAGAGTGAGCAATATTGAGATTAGTCTTCGATCGAGTGCTAGGTAAGTGTTTGTGTGTGTGGAGGGTGGGAAATAAATCGACGAGGTTATGAAGTTACATCGATTCAGATGGTTAGGACATGTGTTGCGTATGACTGCGTAGCCATCGTTCGCCTTCCTCGATGGTCAATGTTAGCTGAAATAGGATTGATCAGGATGGAAAAGGGAGAGAGAGAGCTGGTGACGGTCAAACCAAGACATGTCTTCATCAGTCAATGAAATCCACAATAGTTAGTTTAAGACAGTCATTTAGGTAGGTGTATACTTGCTGGTTGTGTTCCTCAGGATGGTGAGAAGCAATGACGCCTAAAGACAATTGTTGATATGGCTGAAAATCGTTCTGAGTGGCTGACTTAGATGCATTCACTCTTTGTGATTTATAATATTGAATAAAATTTTATTGTTCTTGCATATTTATTACTATTCTTGTTGTCGTATATTTCTGTTAATTATCTTTCTCTGTTTTGAGTCTCTCCTTATTCTTCTCTGTTGGTTTGTGTGGTAGATTGAGGTAGAGTGGCAAGTCGAACAGATGCACATCTGTGCGCAGTTCTATGTTGAAACTCGTCAGCTAATCAGTTATTGTATTTGATAAGTTTAAGAAAGTCACATAAAATTTCTGAAGTTTTGAAGCGATTGTTAAATGTTTTGAACGCTTATCTGAGTGGTGATTTTACTGTCAAAACGCTTCATAGATTATCTAATAAGTTAAGAAACTATTATTCAGAAACTAAGGATGATTTTCGATTGATTTGCATACGATATCTAGAAATCAAATGTTGATTCTAAGCACAGCAAACCTTCTCTAAACACTCCGGACTTACAGCAAATTAGAACTGGAAATCTGGAGGGAATTTTGACATGAACCATTAGGCTAGATTTGGGAAACAAGTGGATTGACGATAAGTAATGTGTTGCATTCTAGTTACATTCTTGTCAAAGCGTTAAAACTCTTAGTGAGTATAATGGATCATTTGATGCGAACTATGAAGATAACCAGAGGTCGTCGACTTGAACCAGTCTGCCATCCAGATTTCTGCTTGGAATTGACCTATTATCCGTTAAACGGACATATGCACCCTGGCGGTGAGTGTGTGCTAACGAAAATTCCTGGACTAGGACTGGCTATCCAATTCTCCCAGGTTTTCCAATGGTTCTTCAACTTATGTCAGCTCATGATGGAATCCTGTAACCAATCAGTGAAATCTCTACAAATCAATACTTGAATGTCAATGAGATGCTCATTGGCCCTATTCAAGCAGTTAACCTTCGGTTCTGGTGAGAAGTGATGACCAGTAGGGTGCAGCAGGTCGGTATGAGGACAAATACCTGCCGAAGACACTTACTGGTGGTCGCGCTACGTTGTGAATTCGCAGAAGTTGCAATTCATGTGTCATTGCCCCGAGTCCCGGTAGCTAAACAGTCTACGAGCTCTCCTTGTAACCACGAGGTCCTGGGTTCGAGCCCTGGCGGCGGATGCGTACCATTGGAGAGTCCCAAACTAGTTTGACGAAACAGCTTTCCAGTACTCCTAAGATTTATAATGTTTCTCTAACAATGAAATCCGTCAACCAATCAAAACAAATCCCTGAAAACCAGTACTTACAGTGAAATCAATGTTAACCACTGTTACTAAGCGCTAGTCATAATACTCCTTACTAATATGTTGGTTATTTATTTCGTCATCAGAAGACTAGATTTTTTTTCACAATTTAACAGAACGAATGTATTATGACAAAAATGACCACAACAATAAGACGGCATGATTTGAAAAGAGAATTGAACTAGAAGAGAAGAGGAGTTTAAATAACAAGTATTTAAAATAAGAAAATTTATCACTTAGAATGTACGATCTCTTTATTATTATCTTTATTATTATTATCGTTACTTTCTTATCTCTTGTGTTTCATAAATCACAGTCTATGTGTCTTTCTGTTATCAATACTGCTGGAGGTGATCTGGCACAATTAAGGTATTATTTCATGGAATTGTAAAAAGATTTCCAGCTCTGATGGTGTAAAGATCCCGTCTCCTAAAGCATGAAAAAAATGAAGAATTTAATCAGAATTTAATTTTCGAAGGTAAATAATAATATAAATAATAATGATGATATTATAAAAAAAACTAAATCATTCAGTGGAATAAAGTCTCATAAAAATAAAATTGTCGCACTTTCTTTTCAGCCTACATGAACAGGTGGATCGGAGGTGGTCAATCACGATTAAATTTTAGTGAAGTAGAGCTGATCTTATGTGATTTTGTATTTTGTGCTTAGAGGAATACTGTAATCACATCATACCAGATGTGTTCTCAACCAACTAGCGGGGTCCAAGAAGTCAGGTGAGAGAACAGTTACTCGTCTGTGACCCTGACTTGTGCTTACGCCACATGTACTGCAAATTGGTAGAAATCGGAATTCATGAGTCGGGTCCCAGTGACTGAGTGTTCTACGAGCTCACCTTGTAAACAGAAAGTCCTGGGTTCGAAACCTGGTGTTGGATGCGTACTAACGAAGAGCCTCATACTAGGACGGAACAGCTGACCAGTACTCCTGTTTTCAAATGGTTCTCTAACTGATATCAACTCGTAAGCGAACCAGTTATTCTATCCTTCTCGTCTATTTGATGGACCGAAATATTCAGCCTCTGTTGGGGTTTTGAGGCAATGAATCAATGGGGAAACCAAAACTGACCGTTACACAAAAGGTACCTCTCAAAGTCCAAGTGTTTTAATGGATAACACTTTAAAGTTTGAAACGATGGGGAATAGGTTTGGATTCCATGCTAGTCACCATCCACCAGAATACCTATTATGATATTTGCTTTATTATTGTACAAAAGCATGTCGCAATCTACTTTGTTCATCCCATATGGCTAAATATTTCTCTCATTAAGTTATTCAGTTTGACAATTTATCTATTGATTACTCTGAAACATTTCGTCTTGACGGAACTGCTTAACTCTAGAAGCAAAAACTCTAACCAAGTAAATGACTTTGCAATGAGACCAGAGAACTAAAAAAAACTGTGTTAAACATGTGTGATTTAAATGAAAACTTAGTCAGTAATAAACAATATTTAGGAAACCAAAAGAAATCACGAACCTCAAGGTGGTTATTCTATCTTGTTGGAGAGCTACTCCTATCTGAGGTTAAAGACAAAACCATTAACTGTCATTGTGAGCACATTCCTTTTTGTTATCCAATGGTGATTTAGCTAATGACCATTATCTGAATTCGTTTGCATTCCGAGAGAAACACAGGGCTTTACGTCTTAGCTTTGACCTTTCAGTATTTACCTATTGCTAGCTTCATGTCCAATCTTCTGTGTTTATCAGGCTTTTTACAGACTAATTAAGGTTTAGACAGAGTTAACCGTGAATTGAAGCACAACTACTTGGGTGATTGGAAGGCATTCTACCCCCGAAACATCAGAGAACACTATTCTGTATGGCAGCTTTCATTACAGTAGTTTTCATGACTCTTAACTAAAGAAATTAGCAAATTAATGTATATTCAATCAAGATAATTTTTTATAGTTTGGTTTGTAAGGGTTAGTTTTGTTTTTACAAGTTGATCACGGATTGATATCAGCTGAAGAACCATTGAAAACCAGCACTGGAGTACTGGACAGCTGTTTCATCCTAGTTCGGGAATAATCGCCATTACGCACCCACTAGGATTCGAACCCAGGACCTTCCGGTTACAAGGCAAGTTGGCTCATAAACCATTCAGCCACTGGGACTCGATTCAGTGGCCAGTGCATGAATTCTAACTTCTATCAATTCGTGATTTAGCGCGACCCCAACCATTGTCGTTGGTTGGACATCCATCCACACATGTGACATCTAATTGGATCTCACTGGTCATGACTTCTCACTAGAACTCAGGAAACTCCACCCTGTAGCAAGTCACTAGCGAGCATCAGATTAATTTTCTATAGTTTGGTTTGTAAGGGTTTTCAATGGTTCTCTAACTGATATCAATCCGAGATAAACTCGTAAAAACAAAACTAACCCTTACAAACCAAACTATAGAAAATTAATCTGATGCTCGCTAGTGACTTGCTACAGGGTGGAGTTTCCTGAGTTCTAGTGAGAAGTCATGACCAGTGAGATCCAATTAGATGTCACATGTGTGGATGGATGTCCAACCAACGACAATGGTTGGGGTCACGCTAAATCACGAATTGATAGAAGTTAGAAATTCATGCACTGGCCACTGAATCGAGTCCCAGTGGCTGACTGGTATACGAGTCAACTTGCCTTGTAACCGGAAGGTCCTGGGTTCGAATCCTAGTGGGTGCGTACTGCCGAAGATAATTTGACTCACAACGTCCACCGTAGTGCGATTTCATAAATTTCTTCATAGCATACATACCTTAAATTAAGAATTAGTCAGTTTCCTTACACGAAATTACTCATACAAGATGTATCAATTCATAACAGGTTCATACAGGTGAGCATGAAACGATTCCCACTTGAGTTATGCCTTCAATGAATTTAGACTTCAGAAATATCTTTATGGCATAAAATATTAACAGGAATTGAGGAACATGGAGGTATTTAGGTATATATTACTTCTTTTATGTACCTCCTCATTGAATAACGGTTGACCATATTAATAATCAGTAGAAGTTAAAATTTAATCATTTTTACACAGGATACTAATTTATTTATTATTTTTTTTTGAAGGTTCTGCATGATTATTACTTAAAAGTGGATGATTGTGTTAAAAATAGAGTTTGTTTCATTGAAATTACCGGATTTAATTAATTCTCTAATACATTGACAAAAAGAAGGTTGTCATGGATGAATAGTGGTGTTAAATACTGATAAAAATATATTAAGAGATAGATCAAAGCAGACTTTCAACGTTTTGTAAAATACTAAACAAACACTAGTAACAATTGGTTATTTGGTAAGTGGTCATCAAATGTAGTAAGTTGAGCAGAAGTACAGTGCTTAACAACTCTGTATGGGTGTGTGTGTGTGCGTGTGTGTGTGAAGCAGCTAATGTGTAGGTGGTAATACAGATTATGGCTGATTTGCATTTACAAAATAACAATCTGATATGACAATAGAATAGGATGTAATCAGTGTCTAAAATAATAAATAATTCTTAATTAACTTAGATATTACACTCAGTGATAATTGTGTGTATCTGTGGTTCACTGACAGAATGCTTGCCAATCATGAATGTTTCCCGGAGTTCGATTCCCACCCTGAGGAGCTCCTAGCAAACTCACCTCTTTATAATACACAACTACTATTAAAACTTAAGATAATTCGAGAACATAGTTTATATGAATTCTCATTTTCAGCAAGTTCCCATCACTCTTTACAGTTAAAACAAAACTCATTCAGTATAAATAAGTGTAGTTGTAGCGACGGAAATCAGGGGCCAAGCAATAGATCATTTTTGAGGAAATCAACAGATATTTATGTATTTTTATGTACATTATTATTCGTTATTACGAGCAGAGAAACAGCGTCTTCTGATTGGTTGTTTCCTCGCTGAAGGTTAATCTGTCATCTGCTTGTGACAGTTTCTTTGACGGTCACACCGTATATCTACGAATCGTATCCACCCACGCAAAGTCTACTGTGATTGGTTGGGGAGTCCCTCAATGTTATGCTTTGTTCCTTTTTTTCTCATAACCAAGATCTGGGACGTGAACATTAACGTAAATTGCTGTCTACAATTTCGACTTGGAGACAGCCCTCACCTAATAGTTAACGAAATTGAAATTCAAGTCTGTGAATTAAAGGATACTCATCAAGTTAGTTATTATTATTATTATTCCCCTGGGTTACAAGTGGAACATAAGGCTTCAGCAACACATCTTCACTTTCTTCTGTTTTCTGCCGTCCTCTTCAGCTGAGTCTATGGTTGTCCATAATCTATCATCTCCTACTCATCACACGATATCCTCCATGCCACTCTCATACCGACGACCCGCTCGTCACTTCCCATTTGGATTCCACTCGAAGGCCTGGCGTGCGATGTCATTCGGTGACCTCCTCAATGTATGCCCATTCTATCTCCATTTTGTCCTACACATTTGCTGGGCAATCGACTCTTGGTCAGTTTGTTTCTACAGTTTCGTCTTGCGAATTCTTTCTGGCTAGCCATTTTATCTTCAGTATGAAGCCAGAAAAGGCAGCTGTTGATACAAGTCTGCAACCCGTTGGAAATGATTTTCGTGACTCACAGTACAAGTTTCTAAACAATATGGAAAAACTGACCAATTTCACATTTGTGTTGAAAATCCGAGTGTTCTTGTTTATCCTGAGGTGGAGTGAAGAAGATTTACAAATTGGTTTCAGATTGATGAAGGCGTGTCTTGCCTTTCCGATCCTGGCTGGCCTTGACATCTTGATCCGCTCCGTCTGCCTGTGATTGAAACCATGCTTTCTAGACAATTGAAGGAGGTAATCTCTCTTAAATCTTTCCCGCTGATGATGGTTGGTGCTGGTTGTTGTTGTTCTTCTTCTCGTTGCTGTTGGTTGGTTATCTTCATCACCTCCGTCTTCCCTATGTTCACCTGGAGTCCTGCCTTCTCTGCCTGCCAGCGTCTTCTGCCAGTTTGTTGCTTTCCGTCTGTAAGTCTTCGAGTTTGTGTGACATTAAACATAAATAATCCACGCGCGAAATCCAGATCTTCTAGAGTCTTCTTATCGGTCACTGCAGTGTATTCTTCTTTTCTCACTCTCAACGAACAGTCTGACACATAATACAGTTCACCACAATTAAGAATATCATTGGTGATAATAGGCGGCAGGCTTGTCTTACTTCTGTATTCACTTTGAATGCCTCTCTGAGTTCTGCTTTGTGGATCACCTGACACGTGGCAGTGTCATATAACAAGCTTTTGGGAGTGATAAAGACTTCAGAAGTGCACACTGTCTGCTGAAGTCCTCTTCTCAGTTGAAGAAGTTGTGGTAGAGGTTACAAAAATAATAATAATATTAACACTGATATCGTGCATTTAGTTATATAATGCAGGTATTCACTCATATTGAATGTGTAGATAGATTCTGTGTATTAGATGGTTGGTGGCGATCGGCCACATAAAGCCTTGGTTACAGGGTTCGTGCTAGTTGGCACTCACCAATCAGCAAGGCAACCGTATCTGCAGTCTTCAAAGAACTCATATCCCTTCTGAGATTCGAACCCCGTGTCACCACTCAGTGCTGCAGTCAGTATGTGCATAAGAAGAAGTGGAAAGGAAAAAGAACTACTCACTCATAGAAGCTAGATAATAGCATGCTTAATTTTATAATAAACTACGAAGCTAAGAATAAAGTATTCAGTTAAAACAAAGTGTTTACATTCAAAATTGCACCTTACCATTATAATCAATTTCATTAAAAATTGACTGTATCAACTTTGGTTTTATTGAAGTGATGGGTACGTCAAGTTTATTAAAAACATATTCTGAATATAATTTATTATAAATTGAATTCCTTAGTAATTCTTTCGAAATAGACGACGATGAAGACTTCGTGTGAAATTGTTCGTTTGGCCATCTCATTTCATATAACTTTTGTAGTGTTTCTTTAAATTCACAAAAGAGGATTAGCTTAACTCTTTCATAGGCTATATTGATGATAAAATGTGTAAATTTTTCTGTTAAATCGAAAATTTTTGTTAAATTTGTTAAATGAAATAGTTGATTCAACCATTTTGATAAACTTATTTGATTTGATTCAACTAAATGAAATATATTCCTTAAATTTTTACCTTCTGAATAAAATGATATATAGTTGGGTAGGTTGGACACCTTGATAAATGAATGTTGTTTAAAGTTTGGACTAGTTTTATGAAGGTCATACAAGCTGAAATGTTGATATACTTCATCGGGATTTGTTGTTAGCTTTTGTCGTTTTTGTTGTCGAGAGTAGGTTAGAAATCTTTTATATTTTCTGAAAAATAGTTTGCCTAAAATGAGGTTTAAAATTGAAATACAACAATTAGTAATTTGTACCAATAAATGAGAAATAAAATCTTCGAATTACTTATGTTTTTTTCTAGGATTCTATAGGATTTATCATTTTAACAATAATGATGATCTATGATACTAGATAGTTGGAGGCAGTCGGCCACAGGAAGCCTTGCTCGACCTAGGTTTCATAGTAGTTGGCACTCATCAGCAAGGCGTATCTACAACATTGAAGGAACTCATGTCCCTTCTGAGATTCTAACCCGCCTCACCCAATGCCGCCTTCAGTCAGAGACGTTATCACTGACCCGACTGATAGAATTCAGTCTGCACCAAAGAAAGGACTAGACATGTCACACTAGTTACTAGTGTCCAATTAAAACTGCTGATCTATGCTGTTGAAACTGCGTGATTACCATAAGCTTTTCATATAAGTACTAAACTTCCAGGCATTGTCAGGCGACAGACAGCCTGAAAGGTTATCTGTCTCTAGCAGTTTAAGCAATAAAGTTTCAACCACTAATTTTGTGATTATTATCCTTTCCTGTGGTTTTGAGCGGAAAATACGTCTTCAGTAGCACATGTGCATCATGCGATATACTCCTAAGTTATTTTATCTGGCTCCACGATTACGCATAAGCTTAATTTTCCCCTTCACATGATCACCGTGTCACATTTGGATGCCCAACCCATTGCTGACTGATGATGTCACTTGAATTTCTTTTCATTGTATGTCCAGTCTACCTCTGTTTCCTTCTGCATGTTTGTTGAATAACAGGCTGTTGACTGTTGTTTATTCTTTCTGACTGGCCAACAGATCTTCACTATAGAGCGAAAGTTTTCGATTGTAATTCTCTGAGTTCGTGAAGTTGATGTAAAATATGGTTGCTGCTATTCCTGATTCCATTCAGTGGTGATGTACACATAAGCTATTTGGTTCATATATGATTTGTGTTTGCCAGCCTGTTCCTCGGGAAGTTCTCAATCTATAGCACCTTATACTCTTTTAAGGCTTTATATTTTCTTGGAATGGACAGAAGCATAATTCAGCACCGGGTTTCGCATATTATTTTTATAATTTTTTATTTTATGCCTTTACGTTCCTAGTGGAACATAGGGATTCAAGCTGCAGCTTTGAAGTTTCGGTAGCAATCGTACTTACTTTTACTGGGTTGGATTGCTAGCCTCATGCCCAACCTTCCCTCTTAACCAGTATTATTACTGGTTTAGTGAGGTAAAAGAGTGTGTCTGCCCGGGATCTAACTCCAGAACACAAGCAAGGTTGGTTTTTTATAGGATTAGATCAATTTCCCTTGGTATTGCTGTAAGATGGCCTTTCTTTTAGTCTGTAAGGACTCTTTTTTCCTTACTTTCACACCTTCCGCATTTGTAGAGTGACCACTGAGGTTTCTGCGTCTATTTTCTGTGCTTATGGTGGGGATTCCACACCAACCTGCTAGCTCCTTCGCTTTTCGTAACTTTATGGCATCCAAAAATACTTATTTTCTCTGAGGGTCGTTGCTCACTGGCACTTTTGTGTCTGGCGGTGGTATATGTGGACAAGCCGTAGGTGACGGTAGATTTAAGAGTCATGTGAAGTGATCAGTCCAGCATTTACTTTCTTTCAACTCTTCTTAATCTGGGCTCCTTTTATCTGTTGTTCTCTTCTTGGATAGTAACCTCGTTATTTGGTGTACTGTTGTAACGTCACTCGTACCTCCTGCGTGTTCTGCTTCTGTTGCCATTGTATCGCAAAGTAGTCTTTTGTCCTCCCTAGCACACTTTTTTCTGTTGTTCAATGCATTTCAGATTGTACTCAACTTCGTCTTTCCTTGTTAATTTCCGTAATATTTCATCTTCTGCCTGACCAGTCATCTCTGTTTTATCATTTTCCAGCTGTCTGTAGTCAGTAATTCATTCTTTTACATCTTATTCTTACCTAGGATTTCTAAACAAGTTCCCAACCACATATTTCCCAGAGAGCTCTAGTGTTTAATGTCGCCACACTTTTTCCTGACGAGTGTAACAAAGGTGTACTCCATAGATTGTTTTTCATTTTCTGAGAGTTGAACTTGATCAGTGGTCTATCTTCAGCTTTTCTGAGGACTTTAAACTTGCTCTTGAAGTTTTTTTTGCACTAGATAACGGTTTGAACAAACATCTGCTCCTCTTCTTGGTCTTGATTCTGGTAGATGTCGTTTCCATTTTCTCGAAATGAAACTCGGATCGAGTCTATCTGATTTTTAGTGTGTCCATCTTGCGTATACCGTTTCTGAATGTACACGTCTCCTTCAATCGTTAAATTGTTACACACAACGAAGTGCGTCGGTGGCACAGTGGTTAGGACTCTCGCCGACTATGCACATGGTCCGAGGTTCGATCCCATGCCGACGCACACCTGATATCTATGGTCGGCCTGCAAACTTTGGGCTACCGATATCGCATGCTGAAAATTCCATACTTGTACCAAAAATACAGTGTGGAATCAAGCTGTAAACCAAAAAAAAGTTCACAAATAGTTCCCCATTTTTATTCATTTCATCGACCGCCTCTTGACCTATGTTCAGCTCTGTCCCTTAGTGGTCTGCTTGCAGTTCATACAACCCGATTTGAATTTCAACATCATCACTTTGCTCGGGTCTTTTACATTACTGTTTGCAGCTGTCTGTAGACGTCCTCTTTCTTCTCTTGGTCAACATAGTTTGTAAGTGTGTTTCATTGTATAATGGACTTGAATGTTGTTGTTATGATCTTGGAGGAGATTGGTTTTCACTGCATGACAGCCTTCAGAGCTTTTGGTGACATCATGAAAGCCACTTTGTCAGTGTGCTCGTGACTGTTGTATAGGTGACTGCAGGAAATTATTGACTACCCAGTCAACAAATCAGAGAGCCCACTTGTATTGCTATCAAGGATTCCCAACGTTTCTATACTATATCTTCTCATTTCTTCTGCAATCTTAGCAGTTTTGTCAGCCAGGTTGGAACATGGTGGGAACATTCCATGTTCCTATGGTCAATTTTGCTTTAATCGATAGAAGAAATATTAGGTGGTTAGATCCGCAGAGGCCTTTTTCAGCCCAAGTGATTCCGCCTTTTCGATTCCAGTGGAGAGTAAGGTTGTGCTGATTGTTTTTTGATCTGTATAAGTATAAGAATCAGTGGTTTATGTTCATTTGAGATTAGACTTCTTATAGTCAGTTGGCTTATTCTTTATTAGTTTAAGCATTTGATCTACAACAAGGTGTCTGTTTGTCACTGATTTATCCGAGTACCAGGCTTCTAAGAATCCTCTAGCATTTTTATTGCTTCCACCATTTAAAATTTCTACATTCTCCCAGTTAGATAGGTGGCCGTAATTGTCTATATGCATCGATATGGAAGAATATATATCGTGTCTTTTCAAAGCTAATTTATGTCCTTGGATTCAGATTCAAAGGGGACGCCCAATTTGACCAATGTAGCGTTTATCGGAATTGACGCAATTTATTTTGTAAATGATATTGATCTTATCTTCTTTTACTGTTGGATCCTTTGGTCTGTGCAACAATAAGTAAAGTGATTGTATTGACTCATGTACTATGTCTTTTTCAAGTGGTCTTTGTGTTCTAGCCGTTATTTCAGAGATACTTTTTATATGTGCTAGAACGAATTTTCTTGTGATCTTTGACAATGATTTCTTGCTGGTATTTCAATTTAAGCTTCAACTTTTCCTGTAGAATTCGACGCGTATCCATTCTTCTTGAAGTCGGTTAATAGATGTTTCTCTTCTGTTCTTCTCAACACTACAGTACTACAGCGTCTTCGGACACTTTTAAAGTCTTATCCCCGAGAGACAGCCTGATTAAATCACTGGATTACCCAGTTTTCCATCCCTCAGAGTTTATCTTACTTACTCTGCTCCATGTTTTAATGATCCAGTTAGATCTGACACCTATTTTCAAATAGTTTGCAATCGACAGTCTTGAATTTTCCAAAGCATATCAAGTTATTAAAGTGTTCTATAGTTTACGCCGTTTCTGGCTTAGTCGACGTGATATCCAGTTGTCGAATAAACATGGTGTGTACTACTCAGGAGTCCAATCCGTCATCCTTTATGGCTAGCTGTGAGTTACACCTGACCATTGAAAGTGGAAGACGTGAAAACGCCGGCTAGCTTTCTTCGATCATAGGTGTCTGAGTTCTGTCTCCCGTGTCACGTGGTGGTATAGTATAATAGGGGGAGGAATATTGAGGTTAGGCTTCGGTCGAGTGCCAGGTGAGTGGAAGGGGTGGGGGGAAGTCAATCGACGAGGTTGTGAAGGTACATCGATTGAGATGGTTAGGACATGTGTTACGTGTGAATGCCTGGCTATCGATCGCCCTCCTCGATGGTCAATGTTAGCTGAGATAGGATTAATCAGGATGGAAAAGAGAGAGAGAGAGAGCTGGTGATGGTCAAACCAAGACATGTCTGCATCAGTCAATGAAATCCACAATAGCTAGTTTAAGATAGTCACTTAGGTAGGTGTATACTTGCTGGTTGTGTTTCTCAGGATGGTGAGAAGCAATGACGGCTGGAGACAATTGTTGATATGGCTGAAAATCGTTCTGAGTGGCTGACACAGGTGCATTTACTCTCTGTGGTTTATAATATCCAATGAAACTATATTGTTCTTGTATATTTATTACTAATCTTGTTGCCGTATATTTCTGTTAATTATCTTTCTCTGTTTTGTGTCTATGGTTACTCTCTTCTTTTGGTTTGTGTGGTAGATTGAGGTAGAGTGGCAAGTCGAACTGGTGTTGTTGAAACCAATCACTTAGTCAGTCAGTTATTCAGAGTGTACTGTGGTAAACTATTGATTATTAATTTACCTGTAGATTGAATATAAGAATTAAGTACTCCATAATAGAGCATGCTGAGAATTCTGTATTGTGTATTAAAGCCTTTTTCAATATAAAGCAATTATTATTATTACAAGTCTGTGAATGCATACGTTGAACTTTAAGAAAAAGTAGCAATCTTAAGTTACTTATTAGTGCTTTTGCAAGTGAAAACTAATAACCTTCTCTCGCGTTGAAATTATTTTCAGTGTGTGTGTGTGTTGAAATACTCACATAACTTAGAAAATATTTATACCTTTAATGAGCTATTAAGATGAAACAATAAAGTATTTATTGTTTTATTTAACCTTGGTTATCCTTCACGTAATTAATACTAACCAAAAACAATGGTCTTGATTTATCAGAAATAGTGTTGAGAAACGACTGAGAGATATTGATACATGAGAGATCTTGATGCTGAGGAGGCGCCGGTTCAATCAGAAATGCCATTATTGGACATCTGATCAACACCTCCTACAACATCTCAACTGATTCTTTCAAAGTAATTTACAAAGACAACAGAAACCAATCAAAAGCAGTATGCTTCCGAATTCTGTGTACTGCAGAAGCCCTCGAAATATGCATCGAGAAGCCGGAGCTGTATTTTCAAAAGAAATTAGTCCAACCTCTACAACTACCATGGAACAAGTTCGGTATGTTCCGTTTTTTCTTCTTTTGTTCTCTTACTTTTTGATTTGTTTTCGTTCACTGTATGTGTGATTCTTACTCCCTCTGTCTTCATTAGATTCACTTCATTTTTTTCAGTTAAAAACAGTTATTTTAAGTTTGTTTCCATGCTTTTCCTGCTCACATTCATAATTCGTTTAAAATTGCTATTTTACAATTATATCTTAATGCTGTGCAATTTTTGTGTTTCTAAGGCTCTTGTAATCGATATTCGCACCTCCTAACTCCCATTTCAAGTTGAAAATTATTATTTCAATTTTGTTTCCATGCTCATGCTTACACACTTGTTATCCATTCTAATCCTGTGTAATTATGTTTCTAAGCCTCTCGTAAACCAACCATATCTAGTTGAAAATAATTATCCGCTTTTATTCGGCATCGCAGTTATGTGGAATCAAACAACAATTTTATCCATGTAAAATTATGTATTTAAATGTGATTGTACAGATTTTTAAAATGAAATCGCCAAAAAGATCACCATTTTTGCTGAACTTCGTGTTCTCCTCTTTCCAATGAGAGATATTTCTCTCACACACAAAGTTGAGGAGAATAAACGGTCTGAAAATCAATGAATGCATGAACGAACTATTTTCACTAGTGACATTTACGTGGTTTCCTTAAACTTTTCTATTTGCTATCCATTTTCCTTTTTAGACTGAATCTCATTGTTCTAAAGTTTGTTTACCTAATTTTAACTTGATGCTTATAATTGTCTTTGTTTTCGTTTGACTCTTGAAAAACATTTCTAAAGGGCTGCAGACTTTCATCAACAGCTACCTTTGCTCCATGCTGAAGATCGAATGGTGGTCAGAAGGGATAAACAACGGGGAATGGACCAATCAAGAACCTGTTGCCCAACAATTAAGCCAAAGGAAATGGAGATAGATTGGAAACACACTGAGGAGACCTTTGAGTAGCATTGCATGCTAGACAGGCAGACAAGCCCCCTAGTAGAACCCATCTGGAAAACAGAGTATCGGGCACTCGTCTATGGGTGATATGAAGGAGATGGTGTGAGGGGAAGATGAGAGATTATGGACAGTTGTGGCACCAGCCAAAGGTGACTGCAGAGAACATTATGTAGTGGGGATGTGTTGATTAGTTTCTTCTTTCATTACTGGTGTCTTTAGTGCATACTCATAGAATCCAACGAATAGGCACTGAAGATACACTTGATGAAGAAGAAAGAAAGCTGACACAAACTCTGGTTGGTAACGATTTTCCAGACAAGTTCATCAGCAGATATAATGTAGTTAGAACACGAAGACCAACTCTCTCACTCGCCCCTAAGAAAGACGTGCACATAAAGCTACCTACCCTATATGGGGCATCCTAGGACCTTGATAACAAGACAAAGATTGAACGCTGCTGTTACAAAGGCTTTTTATGCAGTTAATATCATAATAATTGGGAATGTGAAGCCAATATATCCATATAACCCCTTAGAACATGCGAAAAATGATGTCACATCCCACTGTATTTTCCAATTTAAAATGTACGTGTGGAAACACATACATAGGGAGGACTCTTCGATCTCTGAAAGTAAGAGCTTCAGAACATATTACTAAATAACTCCAGAAACAAACAGAATTTTCAAAACACATTAATGGTGAGAACAAGCAATCTAGCTCCTTTATTGTGAAACACATTATAGAGACAGGAAATAAAATTGACGTTTACACATCTTTCTAAACCCATCTATAGAATGTGTTTGGGGGAGGGCGTATCCTAAAGTTTGTGGAAGCCCTAGCTGGCAATTGGGAAGTTAAAACCACCTTTATGCGTTGAAAGCAACAATTCATCATCGCACCAAACCACCTTCCTTGGTAAACTTTGTTTTGAAACCATAGTAGATGTACTATCACCTCTGTTATTCGGTTTAGTGACCTTCAGTGTTATTTTGACCTTCATTATGTCCTTTCAACTTTACGTATGTCTATTTTCTCACCTGTTAACTCTTTGTTAATTTCATATATATTCCTATGACAAGTCCGTGTGTGATCAGATCGTTCGAAATGTGTTGCGCAAATACACATTACACGATTCAGACAAATTACGTCTTCTTAGTGCCTTGTCTGAATTCATAAAGAGAACTAAATATTTTAAACAGTTTCGATTTACTTTATTCCTCCATGTCTGAAGTGGAACATAGGACTCCAAGCTGCAGCTTTGAAGTTCCGATAGCAGCGGTGTCAATCTTCACAGGGTGGGGTTGCTAACCTCAAGTGCGACCTTCCCTTTTTACCGTCCTTACTACTGTGGTGAGAACTGTCTGAAAGCCAAAACTGGTCAGGAGAGAAGACAAGAACAAAACCCAACCTTGAGGAAATCAACAAACAATCACATCAGACTTAGCGTGGGAGGATACGATTCGCAGGTATAACACCGGAGACTGTCTAAGAAAAGAGATGACAGAATAACCTTGAGCAAGAAAACAACCAATCAGAAGAGGATGCTTCTCTGCTAACAATAACCCTAATAATAATTTACATAAAAATCTATAAATATCTGTTGATTTTTTCAATAAAGGACCCGTTACCTGACCCTTGTCTTCTGTCGCTACACTACTACCCTCTTAGCATGGTTTAGCAGTAAAATGAATAAATCAAATAAAAAAAATGAATAATAACACAATAATACTGGCATTAAATAAACTTACCAGCTAACTGGTTACACTGGACATGTGATTTATTACACAACTCATGAAAACTAGTGACATGATCGTTGTATGTCCTTCTTGATTTGATATTAACAGAATAATTCTCCCGCCATAAAGGACGATTCCGATAATTATTATAGAAATAATGATGATATGGAAACCGATGCAAAGGATGGAAATGATTTCCTAGTAAATTCCTCACATATGTTCTTTTCGCATAGTTAAATCCCGTAACACCAGAGTTTAAGAAGAATAGATAGTAAAATAAGAAGAAGAAATGTAGGAAAAAAGAAATTTTTCTTCTAAATTTATAATGACAGCTTAATTCTGACATGGATTGATCAGTTGATTGTGTAGTAGTAGACAATTAATCGGCGAAAATGTTATCCAAATCTTTTTATCAAAGTTGGTTTTTTTGTAAAAGGTGAAAATGACGCTGAAGTATCATGGGATGACATCAAAAAGATTTTGGAATTGAATATTCTTCGCTTGTGGACAAAATCTGCAGAGGGAGAGAGAGAGAAAGGAAAATTGAAAAGAAGGAACAAAAGCATTAGTTAATCAACCACTAGTACTATTTGGATGCAAAACTCCGACCGGAACAAGCTGGATTCAGGAGAAACAAGTCATGTATTGATCATATCGCCACACTACGGATCATCATTGAGCAAAGGTTGGAATGGCAGTCACCTCTCTATCTCAACTTCATCGACTTTGAAAAGGCCTTCGACGGGCAGCGTCGATCGAGAGGTGATTTGGCAACTACTTCGCTACTACGGGGTCCCATCGACAATTATACATCTCATCCAACAGTTGTGCGATGATGCTGCATGCCAAGTAATCCACAACGGGAAACTTACGGAATCCTTCGAAGTGAGGACGGGAGTGAGGCAAGGCTGTCTACTATCGCCATTTATCTTCCTGACTGCAGTAGACTGGATAATGCGACAGACAACGGGCAATGAAGAAACAGCCATAAAATGGGCTCACACAAAATACTTGGAGGATCTGGACGTCGCCAATGATATATGTCTGATTTCCCATAAACTGGAAGATATGCAAGTGATGCGAAGCAACAAGCTGGCATAAGAATCATCAAAGATAGGCCTTCACGTAAACATAGAGAAAACAGAGGTGGTGAAGATTCCTGACCAACAGCAAAAGCAACAACAACAGACGACAGTCAGCATAAATGGGAGGAACCTGAAAGAAACAACCTCCTTCATCTACCTACCTGAGAAGAATCGTTTCAACTACAAGCGGACAGAACTGACGAAGATATCAAAGAAGCGAGGATCGGGAAAGTAAGACAAGCCTTCGTTACTCTCAAGTCTGTGTGGAGGTCAATATCACTCACCATCAAAAATAAGATCCGGATTTTCAACTCCAATGTGAAGCCAGTGTTACTCACTATACGGATCAGAGACTTGGCGCGTCATAAAGAGCACCTCAAACAAATTACAGACATTCATTAACAGTTGTCTTCTCTCAATATCATTCAAGATCAGTTGGCCAGAAAAGACCAGCGGCAGGGATCTCTGGGAGCGAACCAGTCCAATAGGAACCGATTGTGAAACAAATAGGCAGGAAGAAATGGAGATGGATTGGCTGGCCATTATCTGAGGAAACCATCAAGTGACATCACTAGACAAGCCATCGCTCGAGTGGGACCCGAAAGGGAAGCGGCGAGTTGGTCGTCAGTGCGAGGGTGACTTGGAGGAGGTCATGTGAAGAGGAGATGAAAGCATGTGGGCAGACTTGGAGCGGGGTGAAAAAGTTGGTAGAAAACAGAAGGCAATGGAGACGCTCAGCTGAAGTCCTATGTTCCTCTAGGAATTAAAGGATATAATAATAACAATACTAAATGAACAAAACCGTGAGTTAATCAATGGTGACTCAATGCAAGTAACGTGATATGTAGTGATTTCTGGAGGAGTTGATTTTTATTGACAAAAGGCCACTTTCAGGTAGTGCAAGCCTACACTAACTAATGTTGACTAGATATTGTTGAAGAGAGAATATGGTTCTCACAGTCCATTATATCAGTCTTGTCAAGATTATTTTAGCTGAAGTGAATAAAACTGACCGTATTTCTGGAAAAGCCCAATGAAACATAAAGAAAATAGAAGATAATTCATAGAGGAAAATTTGCTTTATCGGCGTACCCACCCACGATAGCTGTATAATAGTAATTTCATCTACTAATAACATATAAATAGTCTATTATTAAGTAATAAGAGGCTGCTATAATTGATGCAGTTATTCAGAAGTATCCTTTAAAGTCAAAATATTGCTTAATAAGTAGTTGAAATATGATAAAAGTGAAAATTTTCAAGAATTCGTTTCGAAGGGATTTTGTTTTAATTGGTTACAGGATTTCACCATGAGCTGACATCAGTTAGAAAACAATTGGAAAACCACCTGGGAGTACTGGACAGCTGTTTCGTTAGTCTAGTTTAGGACTCTTCCTAATATGCACCCATCGGGGTTCAAACCCAGCACCTACTAGTGAACCCCCTCCCCACCCAATCAAAACAAAATCCCTAAAAACTAATACTTGAAAATTATTCTAATGCTCACTAGTAACTGGCGTACTAATAGGAATCCATGACCATTAGGGTGCAGCAGTTTGAAGGTGAAGCAATAACTCATCGAAGAAGACACTGAGAAGTGGTCACGCTATGTCATGAATTGGTAGAAGTTAGAATTTATAGGCTGGCCATTGGATTGGGTCGCAGTGGCTTAGTGGTCCAGGAGCTTGTAACCAGAAGGTCCTGGATTCGAACCCAGACTAGTCTGACGAAACAGCTGTCTGGTACTCCCAAGTGGTTTCCTAATGGTTCTCTAACCGATGTCAGCTCATGATGAAATCCTCCAACCAATCAAAGGTGAAAACTGAAGAACAAAGACTAACTCAACAACCAATCACAGCAGACTTTGCGTGGGTGGATACAATTCGTAGATATATGGTCTGACGTTGAAAGAAACTGCCACAAAGAGGTGACAGCAGGAAAATGACCATTATGATGACACTGTTTCTCTGCTAATAATAACGAACAATAATGTACATGAAAATATATAAATATCTCTTGATTTCCTCAAAAAACGATCTGTTGCCTTGTAGTTGTCTTCTGTCGTTACACTGTTAGCGAATTATCAACTAAGTACACAGGCGATTGTCTAGGAAGGAGTTTAAGACCATGGTAGATTTAGAAACTGAACAAACATTTTCTGGAAACAGAGTTTGGGCTGCCTCAGTCATATACAAGTGCCGAGACCTAACACTCTTTGTATTATTCACTCTCACCTTATAAGTAAATTTAAGAGGCAACTCAAATTGAGCTGCATGGACTGAGTTCACCAAGTGCTTAAGAGTTGAGCTATTAATCGTCTGAAATCCATTCCAAGTAATGTAATGCGATCAATATAACCAGGTCCAAAGCAGAAAGTGAACTTATAAACAAATAATCTCTGAGGTCAGTTTCTTTGATAAGGAAAATTTTCTTTGCCAAACTGTCTTCTATTTTATACATATATTTCACTAAATACATATATCAACTTTCACGAAAAAAAACAATCCTTTAATTGTGAAATAAGTAACTTTTTCAATCTATATCCTATTATTTTTAACCTACTGGGTACCGTAATTTTTTTTAAAAAATTTACAGGTATACGCAAATAAATTGTAAATATTGAAAAAAGCGGGAATTTGTTAATAAAGCTGAATGCCTGTAAAAAGCAACAAATCAACGTGAAGTGCCAGTGAAGTGGGCAAGTGAAGCTTAAAACAAAATTGTGAGCTCTACAAAGAAGTAAAGCTTAGGCAATAAGAGATGCCGTTTCTGTTTTTATCTTCAATTTTGTATTTAAAATGACCAAAATACCGTTAGCTGGAATGATGAAAGGAATTGAAAAACTTGGATAAAAGGGATTGTATTTTAATAATTATGTTAATTATTTATGATTTGCTTAAACTACTGCTTAGATGTTTATATTTGTACTTGACTAACAATGCTGTCATTGCTGTGACAACAATAACTTATTAATAAATTCTGTGAATTATTTACTAAGGTAATTGCCTTTTTTAGTGGATAAAAATAGCAATAGCTTGTTTTTATAGTGTCTACATTCAATTATATATATGCCATATGTGATACACAGCAAAGAATATTTCAGGTAGAAAAGTAGTTATAACTACTACCAACAATATTAAGAACTTGATGATATTAGATAGTTGAAGGCGATCGGCCACAGGAAGCGTTGCTCAACCTAGGTTTCGAGCTAGTTGGCACTCACCAGTTAGCAAGGCAGGCGTATCTGCAACCACCTTGAAGGAACTCATGTCCGTTCAGTCTGCACCAAAGAAAGGACTAAACACTAGTTACTAGTGTCCAATCAAAATATTAAGAACTCCTAAGTGATTTAAAAACAAGTAACAAAGGTAAATAAAGCAGGATTTCAGTAGAACTCTTCAGCTGATTCCTTTACACACAATGATGTTTGCATACTTTCCGAAATACACTGACAGATATGTGACTGATAAATAAATAAACTACAATAAGATAGTCATGCAAAAAGGCAGATGTGAATGTTTTACAGGTCAAGTTCAGATAGATGAGGGGGAAGGGGTATGAGAGATGAAAATTAGAATTATGACGGATTATGGTTCAGTTACATCAATATAATAAACAATTAGTTGTCAGGGTGAGAACCTCGACTAGTTTACTATCTCACTATTTTTATAGCCAGTCCCAAGCCCGGATGAAGGAGAGGGTGGGGGATTCGTAGGACTAGCAACCCTACACCACAGAATCAATAAAACTTCTACGGAAACTTTAATGCATAAGAAAAATATTAAAAATACAAAAATATATCAAACAAACATTCTTCACTGAAATCGGAGAGGCGAAATGACACAGCGGGCTGGTAAAAGCCTTCAGGAAGTCAGTCAGCCAGCCAATGTGTCTTCTATCAATCAAAGCGAGAATAAAAATTGGGACGTGGAATGTACGTACAGTATACAAGGCTGGCTGGGAAGGCTAGCCAGGTAGCCAAAGAATTGAGAAGATATGGCATAGAAGTGCACGGAAAAATTGAAAGTAGACGGAATGGATGTTAACTGTCGACGTCATCAACTGGAGAGTCAGTAATCTACTCCGGTCTGGTCACTCAGACGACAACCACGAGTACAGTGAGACAATGAGTAGCTATCATGATGCCACCTTCAGAAAAACTTGAGACAGGTCACTGTAATTCAAGGTAAACACTCAACAACTGAAGGGCAAAACTACAAGGATTGTCTTCACTACAGATCAGTTCACAGCAAAGTTGGAGACACTACGTGACATCACTGAGAAAACCTGAGTGGAATAACACTGGAACTAGCTCTCTGAATGTGATGTACAAAGAAGAGACAAGACAAGGAATGGCTCTCAACGGACATCAGCCTGGAAGCTAATAGAAGAGAGGATGAAAGGATGATGAAAGAGAAGATGACTCAAT